TGGAGTTGAAGAGCTATCGCTGGAAAGAGTTTGAAGCTGCTGACTGTTTCCTTGAAATACTTGTATTCCTTATCGGACAGTGCATTTAAATCATAAGAAAGCACTTCGCTGAACAACCGAGGCTGTCCTGACGAAGGACGTGTGTTGTAGCTCCTGAGGGAATTCTCGTTACGGTAACCAACAAGAGATTGTCATGATCGATATTACRATCAGAAACACCTGCATGACACCATAGGCTTATGCCTGTGGCCCTGACACATGTCAGAATTTGGAACTTCGTCTTCAAAATACATTTTTGGGGGCGTTTTTTTCCTCGAAAAAAACTGTAAATTTTTGAACTTGTACCGGGAAAACACGAAATGTGTGACGTCACAACTGTGTTTACATACCCTCATGCAAATATAGCTATCAACCAATCACAGCGTACGTACTATTTGATTTATTTTATAAAACCAAATGTTGGTTTGAAATAAATAAAAAACTCTTTGAATTACATGTATTGAAACCAAAATCGCTTTGAATAGAGTTGGTGTTGAACGAACGAACGAATTTCATAAAATATTGCGTTGAATATTTCACATATTTTCATCCCTTTATTTTTTTAATTTTTTCATGTGTGTTATTAAAGACCCATTGTCACTTGTCACAGATGAATTTCGTGGTCCATGAAATTCAAAGATTCATATATTGAATAATAATTTCATATTAAATCCTTTTCCGACATAGCACTAAGGCACAAAAATGATTCTTTTGCATTCTTTTAAGAGGTTATTCAAAAGGTTAGAGTTGTTTTTTCAGTGATGACACGATTCAAAATGTAAACAAATTGTGATGCATCACGGTAAGTAAAACAAATAAACTTAAAAGTCAGTAACAGATTGGAAGTATAAGCCTTCATAACTTAAAGACGCGACATTCAAATGAATAAATATTTCTCCATTCAACTATTCACTTTATGCAGAATCGATACTGAAAGTATTGTATCGGAGGTTAGGTGCACTTTAAATAAGCATGCAATCTCTGTGCAATGCAAATTTCTTTCTTGTACGGCTGTGAAGCTGAGCTTCCACATGTTTGATCTACCCATTTCAATT